AGACAGAAAGTAGGATAGAAATTACCAAAAGTTGGTAGAAAGGAAAACAGGGAGTTATTGTTTAATGCACAGGGTTCCACCTGGGGATGATGAAAAGGTCGTGGAGGTAATAATGGTAATTAATAGATGTGCTAATGCGGTAAACTCCTGGAGTGGTACACTTAATGGTCAGAATGGTATATCTTATGTTATGAATATTTTACCTATTATTAAAAAAAAAAAAAAGAAAGAAAGAAGAAAATCATCTGGACTCAGTTCTCAAGAGCTGAAGATTCTCAGCATGCACCTGCCAGGGCTGAGCTGTTCAATACGGCCGCCCCAGCAACATGTGGCCCCCGAGCCCTCAGAATGCAGCGAGTCTTAACTGAAATGTGCTGTACATTAAATAAACAGCAGATAACACAGAATGGAAAATATCTTATTAATGATGTCTTATAGGAATCACCTGTTGAAATGATAGAATTTTTGGATGTGTTAACAAACTCTATTATTAAAATTAATAACATGGGCTGGGGCTGGGGCTGAGTGGTAGAGCGCTTGCCTAGCATGTATTAGGCACTGGGTTCAATTCTCAGCACCACATATAAATAAATGAATAAAATAAAGGTCCATCAACATCTAAAAAAAAATTTTTAAAAAGAACATACATATGGGTGGTCAGTGAAAATAATTTAAAAAAATGTTTAGTGGGGAAAAAAAAAGAAAGTCAGGCATGATGGTACATGCCTGTAATCCCAGAGACTCAGGAGGCTGAGTCAGGAGGATGGCAAATTTGAGTCTAGCCTCAGCAATTTAGTGAGATCCCATCTCAAAATAAAAACTAAAAAAAGAGCTAGGAGCCAGCATAGTAGTGTACACCTGTAATTCCAACGGCTCAGGAGGCTGAGGCAGGAGGATCTTGACTTCAAAGCCAACCCTAGCAATTAAGTGAGGCCCTAAGCAACGTGACAAGACCCTGCCTCTAAAAAAATATAAAAATAGGACTGGGGATGTGGTCAGTGGGGTTAAGCATCCCTGGGTTCAATCCCCAGTACAAAAAATATAAAAATTAAAATAAGGGGTTGGGGTTGGGGCTCACCCTCAGCAGTATAGCGCTTGCCTAGCATATGCAAGGCCCTGGGTTCGATCCTCAGCACTACATAAAAACAAATAAATAAAATAAAGGTATTGTGTCCAACTACAACTAAAAGAAAAATTTAAATAAAAGCTGAACAGACACTTCTCAGAAGATATATAATCAACAAGTATATGAAAAAAATGTAATCTCTAGTAATTAGAGAAATGCAAATCAAAACTTAAGATTTCATCTCACATCAGTCATAATGGCAGTTATAAAAAATATAGACAAATGGGGCTGGGGTTGTGGCTTAAGGTAGAGCACTCGCCTACCATGCATGAGGCACTGGGTTCGATCCTCAGCACCACATAAAAATAAAATAAAGATATTGTGTACACCTATAACTAAAAAATAAATATTTTTTAAAAAATACAGACAACAATAAATGTTGGGAAAAAGCACACTGATACATTGCTGGTGGGGTTACAAATTGGTGCAACCAATCTGGGAAGCAGGATGGAGATTCCTTAGAAAACTTGGAATGGAACCACCATTTGACCCAGTTATCCCATTCTTTGGTTTATGCCCAAAGGACTTAACATCATCATATTGTAGGAACGCAGCCACATCAATGTTTATAGCAGCTCAATTCACAATTGAGTGTGACAAAACTGTGGAAACAACTTAGATGCCCTTCAATAAATGAGTGGATAAAGAAACTGTGGCATAAATACACGATGGAATATTACTCAGCCTTAAAGAAGAATGAAAGTATGGGATTTGCCAGTAAATGGATAGAGTTGGAGAATACCATGCTGCATGAAATAAGCCAATCCCAAAAAACCAAAGGCTGAATGTTCTCTCTGATAAGTGGATACTGATCCATAATGAGGGTGGGGAGGTATGGGATAAATGGAGGAAACTTGATTGGACAAAGGGGAGGAAGGAATGGGGTGGGGGCAGGAAAGATGGTGAAATGAGATGGACATCATGACCCTAAGTACATGTATGACTACATATATTGTGCAATGCAACATCATGTACAACCAGAGAAATGAAAAGTTGTGCAGCAATTGTGTTCAATGAGTCAAAATGAATTCTGCTGTCATATATACCTAATTAAAGTTAATTAATTAATTAATTTTTAAAAAGATTTAAAATAAATATTATTATTTTTAAAAAATACTGGGAAACAGAATAAAGCATTGAAACAAAATTTAAGCTACTACTGAAAACACATCCGCACAGAACAATAAACATGGGTTAGAAATGCAGTCAAGTAAAATGATACATATTAAATTCCATACAGTGGGGGCTGGGGATGTGGCTCAAGCGGTAGAGCGCTTGCCTGGCATGCGTTCGGCCCGGGTTCGATCCTCAGCACCATGTACAAAAAAAGATGTTGTGTCCGCCGAGAACTAAAAAATAAATATTAAGAGAACTAAAAAATAAATATTAAAATCATTTTTTCTCTCTCTCTCTCTCTCTCAAAAATAAATAAATAAATAAATTCCATACAGTGGCTGGTGGGGGAGGGCGGCTGGGAAGTAGAGGGGAGTGGGGGATGGGAATGAAAAGGGAATAAATAAGAAAGTGTTTTGTGCTAACAATGAAGACTTGTGCAGGAACTGCAGATCATTAACTCAACCCTGTTCCTGAGGTTAAAAAAAAAAAAAAGAAAGAAAGAAGGAAAAGAAAAGCCTAGCTCAGTGGCACCTGCCTGTCCTCCCAGCTCCTGGGGAGGCTGAAGTAGGAAGACTGCAGCCCAGGAATTCAGGGCCAGCCTGGGCCATGTCAACAAGACCCCATCTCAGGGGACTGGGGATGTGGCTCAAGCGGTAGCGCGCTCGCCTGGCATGCGTGCGGCCCGGGTTCGATCCTCAGCACCACATACAAACAAAGATGTTGTGTCCGCCGAGAACTAAAAAATAAATATTAAAAATTCTTTAAAAAAAACAAAAACAAGACCCCATCTCAAGAAACAAAATACAAGCTAGGTGCAGTGGCTCCCGCTTGTAATCCCAGTTACCCAGGAGGCTGAGGCAGGAGGATTGCAAATTTAAGGGCAGTTGGGGCAATTTAGGGAGGCCCTGTCTCAATACAAAAAATCAAAAGGGCTGAGAATGTAGGTGAGTAGTACAGTGTGACCCTGGGTTCAATTCCCAGCAGCCCCCCAGCCCACCAAAAAAAAAAAGAAAGAAAGAAAAGAAAAAAGAAACAAAAGAATCCTAAATTGGTCCTGGAAAGTAACCCAGAATCTCTGACCCCTCAAAAATATTTCCCGCCAGGCGCGGTGGCACATGCCTGTAATCCCAGCCACTTAGGAGGCTAAGATAGGAGGATCTTGAGTTCAGAGCCAGCCTCAGCAACTTAGCAAGGCCCTAAGCAACTCAGTGAGACCCTGTCTCTAAATAAAAACAAAAAGGGCTGGGATGTGGCTCAGTAGTCAAGCACCCCTGAGATCAATCTCTAGTGCCCCCCCACACACACACATATGAAATCAGAACCTCTGACAGCGTGTTATCCCTTGGCCAGACAGAGCTGAGGGACAAATGGCTCCTGCCCTGCCCCACATGCCCATTCTTCCTCTGCACCAACTACTGGGCCCACAGACATTGAGTGTGAGACCCTGGTCTAGGTTGCTTCTCGGTCTCCATCTAGGAGACAGACCTCCCAGAGCAGCCAGAACAACAGCTGTCTGCCTCCGTGTGGGGTGAGGACAAGCGTCTCACTGTCCCAACACCTGGCACCGAGAAGCACATGTCCGCTGACTTGATTCCTGAGAATCTGAATTTCACATGAGAAGGGCCAAATGGGGCTCCACCGTGGTGCACAGACACGAGGGAGAACTGGCCCAGATCTCAACTCACTGTCGCCCACCTGTTTGGACTTGGGTAAATTACTTTACCTCTTGATATCTATTTATCCATCTATAAGATGGGAATGATTAATAGTGCCTACCTAATAGGGTTGTTGTGATGATTCCATGAATTAATACACAATTGTCTCTTTTTATCTGCTGGGGATATGTTCCAGGACCCCCGGTGACACCCCAGACTGCAGATGGACCGAAACCCTATAGATACTATATTTTTCTAAATACACATAACTGTGATAAACTTTCGACTTTGCACTTAAAGGAAGCACTTTGCAGATTCTCGGTGGCACATCCTAATTGCCAGCATCATGGATCTCAAGCTCTGCAGCCATTACTGAGTAAAATAGGGGTCACCTGAACAAAGACCTTGTGACACTATGATTCAGAAATCGTCAATCTGATGCCCAAGACAGCTACCACGTGACTAACAGGCATAGTGTACACACAGCATGGATACTCTGGAAAAACGAATGACGCACTTCCAAGATCAGGAAGTAGGAGGTGCTGCATGTCATCACATGGCTCAGAACAACACTCAAAGTAAAACTCAAGAGCTGGGGCTGGGGCTCAGTGGTAGAGCACTTGCCTAGCATGTGTGAAGTAGTGGGTTCGATTCTCAGCTCAGTAGTGGAGCACTTATCTAGCATGCTCAAGGCCCTGGACTTAACCCCCAGCACTGTAGAAATAAATAAATCTCATGAATTGTTTATTTCTGGAATTTTCCATTTAATATTTTTTGGACTGTGATAGACAACGGTTAATTGAAACCATGGAAAGTGAAGCTGCAAATAATTTTATAATTATATTAATAATATTATGGTTGAAAGTACAAGAGACAGAGAGATTCTGATTCACATACCAAGTCTCCTCTCCACTTTCCCAGTACTGATGGGTGTATGTTCAGTGCTCAGACTTACGATGTCCTCACACTGAGTTTTCCTGTCAGATACAGCACTACCACCAGTAGGAGGAACTCCCAGCCCTGGCAGCTGACCAATCTTCCCTTGCCCCCAAGACTTTCCTGAGCCACCATTTAGTCATAACAGGGATAGCAAGTTGACTTACAGCTTCTTCATGATTGTCTTCTCCTCCTTGTCACTGTTGGCATTGCAGGCTCTGGTAACCACAGTATCGTTTCTTCTTCTTCCCCCTGGGCCTTCTCTTGGTGCAATCAGGCCACTGAGGAAAGGGGGACAAATAAATAGATTGTTTTTTATTTTTTATCTCTGCAGCTTGAAAGTGAAAGGTCTTAATAATTATTCCTATATTAGTAATATTAGGGTTGAAAGTAATTGAATCAGAGATATTTTGATTGAAATACTGAGAATCTTCTCTCCACCTTTCCAGTGTTGATGACTCTTATTTCTTTCTCTTATCTAATGGCATTGGCTAGTATTTCAAGCTTCTGTACTTTCTAGGAACGTGATCATGTATAAATTATCTAACTTATGCCATGTTTTCCCAACCTATAAAATAAAGATAACAGTACCTACCTCATAGGATTGGGGGATTAAATGAGAAAGTATATGCTGTCTGGTATGCGTTCATTAATTAATACAACAAATATTTATAAACTCATCTACTGTGCCAGGACATTATAAATACAACTGTACTTCTATATTCCCAGGTTCTACATGAGTGGATTTAACTAATCATGGATCAAAAATATATCTTTTAAAAAATTGCATCTGTCAGGTATAGTGGCACATGGTTGTAATTCTAACTACTAGGGAGGCCCAGATGGGAAAATCATAAGTTCAAGACCAGCCTTAGCAACATACAGAGAGTCCAACTCATAAAGGGGGAGAAGGGACTGGGGATGCAGTTCAGTAGTAGAGCACTTCCCTACCTAGTACAAGGTCAAAAGTTCAATCCCCGGGGCTAGGGATGTGGCTTAGGGTTGGGGTAGGGTTAGGGTTGGGGTAGGGATAGCGCGCTCGCGTGGCATGCGTAAGGCCCAGGTTAGATCCTCAGCACCACATACAAACAGAGATGTTGTGTCCACCAAAAAACTAAAAAATAAATATTAAAAATTCTCTCTCTTAAAAAAAAAAAAAAAAGTTCAATCCCCAGTACTGAAAAAAGTAATCAACTCTAAGGAATGTAGCTCAGTGGTAGGCTGCAGGCTTATTAAGTGTGAGGTACTGGGTTCAATTTCTGGCAAAATATAAAATAATAATGAACTCATACAGATTTTTTCTTGTCATTATTCCCTAAATAATACAGTATAAAAACTATTTACCTAGCACTTAGATTGCATTAGGTATTGTCAGTCATGTAGAGTTGACTTAAAGTGCACAGGAGGATGTGAGGAGGGCATAAGCAAATAGTGAACCATTTAAGGGACTAGAGTATCTGAAGATTTTGGTATACACAGGGGTCATGGAACCAAGCCCCTACATACAGCAAGGAGAATGGTATGATCTAGACAAAACAGACAAAGTATCAGCTCTCATGCCATTTGTATTTCACTGGGGAAGGAAGAAGAAAACAGTCAATAAATGAAGAAATACGTAAACTAAAAATATAGAATAGGGCCTAGGGTATGTAGCTCAATGGTACTGCACTTGCCTAGCTTTGAGACCCTTGGTCAATCCCCAGTACCACACACACACACACACACACACACACACACACACAACAGTTGAGACAGGAAGATTGTAAGTTCAAGGCCAGCCTCAGCAACTTAGTGGGGTCCTATGCAACTTTGCAAGACTGTCTCAAAATAAAAATTTTAAAAAGGGCTGGGATATAGCTCAGTGGTTAAGCACCCCTGGGTTCAATCCCTGGTATATCCCACCAAAAAGAAAAAATGTATGTGTGTGTATACACACACACACACACACACACACACACAGTAAGTAAGATGGTGATAAAAGCTAAACAGCTACTGATTAATCAGTAAGACACTGAGGCCAGGAGAAGTCTGGCTCAAAGACAGGCGGAGCATTTCCCTGGACATCTGGCACACAAGGGGGAGGAAGGCCATTCTCTCTCACTCGTCCAACTGGGATTTTTGCCAGAAGCCACGTTTCCTGAAATTCACAGAAGTCCCTCTGAACAAGCCAAGAGGAGAAGGAAGGAGCAGCCCTTGGCTGCAATTTTAATTCCTGGACCTATTCCAGGACCCCCCTTAATTATATGACCCAAGAAAGTTCCCTTTTGTCTTGATGCTAGTTTAAACTGGGTTCCTGTGAGTTGTGACCTAAAGAAGGTTGTTCATGATGACACGTGTCAGCTTGTGAACTGCACAACGCACGGCATCCATGTGGCATTCTGAGGGGTGCCTGATGCTACACCACACCTTGTCCCTGAAAAATTCCTACCTGGAAGTCCTAGTCCTTCTTGGTGGTAATTGCCAATGAAGCCTCTGGGAGATAATTAGGTGTAAATGAGGTCCCAAGGGTGGGGCCCACATGATGGATTAATGTCTTTATTTTGGGTGGGGGTTACCGAACCCAGGGGTGCTTTATACTGAGCTACATCCCCAGAGCTTTAAATGTTTTATTCTGAGAAGGGCTTTGCTAAATTGCTGAGGCTAGCCTCAAACTTGCCATTCTCCTGCCTCAGTCTCCTATATAGCTGGGATTACAGGGGTGTGTATCCTGCCTGGCTGGATTAGTGTCTTTGTGCTCTGTCTCCCTGGCCATGTGAGGACTCCTGTGAAGGCAGCTGTCTACCAGTTCAGTCCTTACCAGAAATTGACCATGCTGGCACCATGACCCTGCACTTCTACCCTCTAGGACTGCGAGAAAAGAAATTTCTGTGGTGAAAGCCCAGCAGTTGGTGATATTTTGTTATAGCAGCTGGAGGTGACTGACACATCTCTTTCAGTGTGAGTCACAGGGCAGGAGTCATCCTCCCTACTTCTTTATGAAAGGGTTTTGAATAGGTGAGTTCTTATTGTTTAATGTTATTATTTTTATTTTATTTATTTTAATGTTAGGATTATTTCATAGTAGGCATCATCTAAAAACTCCCTTTTGGGCTAGGGGTGCAGTTCATTGATAGAGCATGTGCTTAACATGCACAAGGCTCTGGGTTCAATCCCTAGTGCCAAAAGCAAACAAATAAAAATAAATAAAATGCCCTTTTTCAGATGGATGGGGTTGCACATGCCTGCAACTCCAACTACTTGGGGAAGCTGAGGCAAGAGGATCCCAAGTTTGAGGCCATTCAGGGCAACTTAGTGAGAACCTGTCACAAAATTAAAAGGTCTGGGGATGTATGTAGCTCAGGAAGGGGTAGAGTGCCTATAGATTCTATTCCCAGTACTTAAAGAAAAAAAAAATCCCTTTTTCTTTTCATCTATCGTGACATGAATAAAATGCAGTTACATCAAATAATGATTTACAGACTCTCTGGCCCTACCTCTGCTGATTAGCATGGTGGTTCTCTGCTAATCTAGTCTGGTGATGTCACTTGGCTGTGTCCAAGGGCTGGGCACAGTGGGTATCGTTGGGCAACCTGGTCCTTTCCCTGTGACTACCCCGGGCATCCTCAGACCACATGGTGGTCTGAAGACAGCACTCCAAGCAGGCAAAAACAGAAGCCCCAACATAAGGTGCCAGACGGCATCCTTTTTGCCCTATTCCACTGGTCACAGCAAGTCACAGGGCCAGCCCAGATTCAAGGAGAGGGAATACAGACTCCACTTCTGTGTGTGTGTCGTATAGGGGATTGAACCCAGTGTCCCCAGCATACTCTACCACTGAGCTCCATCCCCAGCCCTTTTTAAAATTTTATTTTAAGACATGGTCTAACTAAGTTGCCGAGGTTGGCCTCAAACCTTCAATCTTCCTGCCTCAGCCTCCTGCTCCTGCATTGTTGGGATAAGAGGTGTGCACCTCCACACCTGAACAGACTCCACTTCTTCCTGAGTTTCATCGCTAAAGGCATGCAGGATGGGAAATACCAATGTGGCCATCTTTGGAAACAATCTACCAGATTTCGCTTTAATCACAAATTATTGTCATTACACTGTAAGTTTGGACAGGCAAATTGATGCAGTTGCTAAGAGAACATCTCAGTTGGCATTATGTTTTCTCTGGAAATTATATCACTAGTGACTAAGCAGAATCCTGTTTCTGTGTGTGACTGCACGTTTCTTGTTCTCTGGGAATTTAAACCTGAAAATAAAGGATGTCACTTTGTTCACTAACAAGCTGCTCCTAGCCCTGTCAGCTTGGCAGCTTCTCTTTTTAACTACCTGTGTCTGAACTGTTTAATTAAGTGAGACGAAGGCAGCTCTTTCCACTGGATATGGTGGCACACAGCTGTAATTCCAGTAACTCTCAAGGCTGAGACAGGAGGACTGAAAGTTGGAGGTCAGCCTCAGCAATTTAGCCAGACCCTGACTCAAAATAAAAGTAAAAGCAGGTGCCATGGTGCACACCTGTAATCACAGCAGCTCAGGGGGCTGAGGCAGAAGGATCATGAGTTCAAAGCCAGCCTCAGCAACTTAGCAAGGCTGTCAGCAACTCAGCGAAACTCTGTCTTAAAATTAAAAAATGAAAGGGGCTAAGTGGTTAACTGCCCCTGAGTTCAATCCCCGGTACCAAAAAATAAAAATAAAGTAAAAACAACTAGGGATGCAGCTCAGTAGTAGAGCATCTTTGCATTCAATCCCCAGTACCAAAAAAAGAAAGAAAGAAAGAAAGAAAATCGGGAGGTTGAGAGGGGAATCATAAGTTCAAAGCCAGCCTAAGCAATGGCAAGGTGCTAAGCAACTCAGTGAGAGCCTGTCTCTAAATAAAATACAAAATAGGGCTTAGGATGTGGCTCAGTGGTCGAGTGCCTGAGATCAATCCCCGGTTCCAAAAAAAAAAAGAAAAGAAAAAAAAAGACAGCCCTTTCCATTAACAAGGTCCAGCCTCGGCAGAAGAACACAATAAATTCCTGTTGGCAGAACTCATTTCTTTTGGCTTTTGCTTCTTAGAATTCAACTTTACTGCTGCTCTTTTGCTCTTTTTACTGTGGGGTGGGTCCTTGTGCACGTGAGGCAAGCGCTCTACCCCTGAGCCATACCCCAGCCCTTTGGCTGATGTTTTTTCTCTTTATTTTGGTATTGGGAATTGAATCCAGGAGATTTTACCACTGAGCTACATCCCCAGCCCTTTTTAATTTTTATTTAGAGGGCTGGGGATGTGGCTCAAGCGGTAGCGCACTTGCCTGGCATGCGTGCTGCCCGGGTTCGATCCTCAGCACCACATACAAACAAAGATGTTGTGTCCGCCGAGAACTAAAAAATAAATATTAAAAAATTCTCTCTCTCTCTCTCCCACTCTCTCTTTAAAAAAAAAAAAAATTTATTTAGAGACAGGGTCTCACCGTGTTGCTTAGGGCCTCGCTAAGTTGCTGAGGTTGGCTTTGAACTTCTGATCTTCCTGTTTCAACTTCCTGAGCCGCGGAGATTCCAGGCATGTGCCACCACACAAGGCTAATTTTAAATTTTGAGACAGGGTCTCAAAAGTTTCTGAGGCTGGCCTTGAACTTGTGATCCTCCTGCCCTAGACTCTTGAATTACAAGGATTACAGGTGTGTACCACCATGCCTACCTTCCTGTTTATTTATTTATTTATGGGGGGGTGTGCTGGGTATTGAACTTGGGGCACTTGACCACTGAGCCAGCCACATCCCCAACCCTATTTTGTATTTTATTTAGAAACAGGTCTCCCTGAGTTACTTAGGACCTCACTAAATTGCTGCAACTGACTTTGAACTCATGCTTCTCAGCCTTCCTCAGCCTCCTGAGCTGCTGGGATTATAGGTGTGTGCCACCAAGCCCCACTTCCTGTTTTTTAAAAGATGATTAAAAACATCTTTAAAATGGGGTGTGGGTTAGTGGTAAAGCCCGTAGTTTGTGCAAAGTGCTGCACTCTCTCCCCAGCACACACAGAAACACAGAAATAATAATATCACAAGGGCTATGTGTGGGTGTCGTACTGGGGACGGGACCCTGGGGGCTCTGCAGCTGAGCTTCACCCCCAGCCCTTTTTATTCTATTTCAAGTTGGTCTCACTAAGTTGCCAGGCTGGCCTTACCCCTGTGATCCTCCTGCTTCAGCCTCCATGGTAGGTAGGATTACAGACATGCACCAGCACACCCAGCTTTTTATTTTTGTTTTTGATCGGGGCACGTCCTTAATTCCAAGTGTTCTGGGTCCAAAGGAGGCATGCACAGGTTGTGGTGTCAGAGCATTGGAGGTCACCTCCTACTCTGACTACCCCTGGCTGCAGGACTTGAGGCAGATACCAACGACTCTGAACCTGCGCTCGCCAGGGCAGCACCACTGAAGTGCAGATCTCTGTGGCAACGGCCTCCTCCCACTGTCCTGGGGCCGCTCTCCACAGTACTGCTCTAATGTTCTTCTAAACTTCAATTCAAACTTGAAGAAAAGGTATAAGATGTGGACAAGGACTTACCACAGGCCCTTCACCCAGATTTCCCTTCACCCAGATTTCCAACAGTCCCTCGTCCTTCTGAACCATCCAGAGTTAAACTGGAGACATCTTATCCCTTTACTCCTCAATACCAGGGTGTATTTCCAAAGAATATGGAAATTCTCTTATATAACCAAGTGACTCAGTTGTCAAAATCATCACATTGATCTTTCAAACTAGTAAATCAGAACTTGTCATTTCTTTGATCGAAACTTTCTCATTATACTAACAAAATTCAACTCCTCCCTTCGGCTGATGAGCTCCAAGGCCTCCTTCCTACCATCCTCCTTGTGCATTCTGGGCTTTGCCATGTGGGCCCCATTAAATTGCCAAGCTGGTTCCTACCTCAGGGACTTTGTACTTCCTGCTCCTATTTGTCCTGCCTGATATTTACATGGCTGACTCTGGTCACTCACCTGAGAGTGGCCTCTCTGACTATCTAACTGAAGAAAGAGCCCCCCACTCCCATTTTACTGCCTGTGATAACTTGCTTCACATTCTTTTGTGTGTGTGTGTGTGTGTGTGTGCACGTTACCAGGGATCATTCTGGGACCAAACAGCATGACAGACAAGTGCTCCATCCCTGAGCCCGAGCCCCAATCCTGGGCTTCCTGACTGATGACCTGTCCCCTCTACTAGATTAGCAAGGACTTTCACTTTCTCCTTGCCCAGAACAGGGCCCTGCACATAGTAGGTCTTCATTAGATTTGCTGAGTGAACATGAAACAATTCTGTGGCCAGCAAGGACCTCAGGCAGGCCTGGCTGGGCAGGGGTAGCCTGCACGGCAGCAAGCCCACCTCTTGTAGCCCTGCAGCTCTTCCTGCACCACTATCAGCTGGGACTTGAGCTTGTTGCGCTCCTGCAGCACATCCCGCAGCTCCTGCAGGGTGAAGCGCGGCCGGTTGGGATCCGTCAAGTCAACCACCATTTTGTCCGGTCCCAGGTTCACCTGTAAGAAAGGATGCTACTTTAATGGTCTTCCTCATGGCCATGGATGCTCCTCCCGGAAAGGCAGGCTCTGTCCTGTGGCTCCCAGGAGCCCCAGGAGCTGAGATGGCGCCTGTTGGCAGATGGGAAAGAAGCCAAAATTCTAAGTCCTGCTCTCCAAGAAAAGATCCAGGATTCCTGGAAGGGCTGACTCCAGGACTGGAACAGACAAAATACAAACTGAGTGAGGAATATTTCCTTATGTAAGGGATGAAGACGGATCAGAGTGACCCAGTTTGGCCAGGCATGGTGGTGCACACTTGTAAGTAATCCCTGTTGCTCAGGAGGATCGAAAGTTCAAGGCCAGCCCCAGCGACTCTGTCTTAATAGGCACTCATATTTAAAATACCAGAATTGGGGCTGGAGTTGTGGCTCAGTGGTAGAATGCTTCCCTAGCATGTGTGAGGCCCTGGGTTCGATTCTCAGCACCACATATAAATAAGTGAATAAAATAAAGGTCCATCAACACCTAAAAAATATTGTTAAAAAATAAAATACCAGAATTGGGGCTGGGGGTGTAGCTCAGCCATAAAGTGGGTATTTAGCATGGGCAAGGCCTTGGGTTCAATCCTCAGCACCAAATAAGTAAACAAATAAAATGCAAAAATAAGCCAGGCATAGTGGGTGGTGCATTCCTTTAATTCCAGCTACTTGGGAGGCTAAGGCAAGAGGATTGCAAGTTGAAGGCCAGACTGAGCAACTGAGCAAAACCATATTTCAAAAAAAGAAATAAAAAGGGTTGTTGGGTGTCATGTGGTGCGTGCCTATTAGCTCAGTGACTCAGGAGACTGAACCAGGAGGATAGTAAGTTTGAGGTCAGCCTCTGCAACTTAGCCAGACCCTGTCTCAAAGTAAAAGCAAAAGGGCTGGGGATGTAGCTCAGTGGTACAGTGCCCGGGGTTCAACCCCCAGCACTACCAAATAAATATATAAATGAATGAATAATAAAAAGGACCGGGGAGGCAGCTCAGGGGTAAAGCACTCATCGATTCCATTGTTAGTACTAAAAAGTTAAAAATTAACAATTAAGAAATTAAAATTGACTCATTAATAAAGTAGCTAATGGGAAAAAGGGACACCTGTACTTTACAGCAGCATGACAGTGACTTAAAGTAGAAGGTATCACAGTGGGAACATCTTCCTGCCACCATCTTGGTAAGAGCTGGTTCAGGAGAGGCTGACACTTCAGCAGCTTCTCTGCCAAGTGCTCATCCCAGGAAACATCAGAACCAGTCCAGATGGAGGCACGTCCTGCACCGTCTTCAGAAATGTCAAGGTCAGGGTGGAGGCTGGGGCTCAGTGGCAGAGCGCTTGCCTGGCCTGTGTGAGGCACTGGGTTCAATCCTCAGCACCACATAAAAATAAATAAAATAAAGGTATTCTGTCCATCTGCAACTACAAAAAAGAAAGAGGGGAGGGGA